TCGTATTCGGTCGTACCACATTAGGGGTATGTTTGCTTACCTGCAGCGTGTATGTCGTGCAGCTCCTAAGGCAAGGGAAGAGAGGATGGATGGAAGGCAGGGACAAGGGACAGGCGGGTTGCTGAAGCGTGACTCCTGCCTGAATGTGCAAGAAGTCTCGAGCTATAGCGCGATTCGCAGATATATCAGCCAGGGTTGACTCCACATAGGTTAACGACTCAAATCAAGGACTCAGAGGAGTCGAGTACGCTTGAAATCCGCAACGCAGCGAGCAAGCAAGCGTGCAAGCAAGCAAGCAAGCTTGCAAACGCGCAAGCAAGCAAGCAAGCAAGCAAGCAAGCAAGCAATCAGGCAAGCAAGCAAGCAAGCAAGCAAGCAAGCAAGCAAGCAAGCAAGCATACATAATGGGGAGTACCATTGGAAAAAGGAGGGAGGGGGGGGCCATTGGAAATAAGGAGGGTGCCATTGGAAAAAAGGGGGTGCCCAGAGGTGGTGCATAGGCATTGGCATAGGCTTAGGAGCGCTCAGAGGTGGTGCATAGGCATAGGCATAGGCGTAGGCATAGGAGTTAGGGGGCAGGCATAGGCATAGGCATAGCCATATCCATATGAATTAGGGGGGCGCATAGAAATTAGGGGGGGAGGGGCAACGGACCAATTCGTATTGTTTGAGCTAGGATTCCTAAAGGGCCAGCCTGTTTGGAGAAAATCGGGAGGAAGTCCACAGCGAGAGCGTTGTCGAGGGCGCGGCGTCTGAATAAATGGAAAGAGAATCCCACGCGAACGCGCGATTCCTGTATATATTGTGAGGAAGTCCCGCGCGAGAGCGCGATTTGGGAATACATTGTGAGGAGTTATCAGGCGGGGACCGTTATTGCTGTAACTCGGGGGCCAAACAACCCTGTTTGGTGGCCCCACATTGTCCCTTATAAAAAAGGGTGCGAGCCCCAGGAGAAGCATTTCAATCGAAAAATACAGTGGTTACCGGCGGGGGGATCAGCAATAATTGTTTTCTAGAAATGAGATTTCATCACCCACAACAACAGCAGTGGCTCCCGCTTGATACTTACAACGGATTCCAACATCGCGCTCCCGCGCAGGAATTCCCCACAACTCATGCCGGAATCGCGATCTCGCGTGGGCCTCCTCGCAATCTACTCCGACGCGCGCCCTCGACACTCAGGAATTTCGCTCTCGCCTTGGCTCTGTCTCACGATAGTTGCTCGCTCCAGCAGCCCGCCTGCTCGACCCTGGCCGCCCCAGCCTGCCTCCCGCCCTTCCGGCCCGCCCCGTCAGGGTCTGCCCGCCCGTTCTGCCCGTCCCTGTTCTGCCACCCGCTTCCTGCGCCTCGCCCCCCTCCTCGTCTCTCTCGTGCTCCATCCCTCGCCCTCCCCCTGTGCCCCTTCCTGCCATCCGTCCTCTCTTCCCATGATGTAGGGGCTGCGCCACAGACACGCGGGAGGTGAGAGAGATGTACCCCCAAGCGGGCACGATCGAAGACGCACAGGGCGGATATCGAGGGTTCGGGATATACGTGGTGAGTGGCACGCGAGCAGGTAAGAGCGGACAACCTTACAAGTATGATTGTTCTTATTGGTGATGGTGTTGGTGTTCTTGTCGTTGTTGTTGCTGTTGTTGTTGCTGTCGTTTTTGTTGTTGCGTTCTCATGCCCAAAGGATAATTATTGTTGATCCCCCCTGCGGGGCACACTGTGTTGTGCTCTATTGAAGAGCTTATCCCGGGGCTCGCACCTTGTTTGTTTACAAGGGAAAGCGAGCGGTCACCAAACTGGGCCCTTGGCCCCAGAGTTACAACAACAACGACTCCCGCCTGATACTTCCTCACAATGTATTCCAAAATTGCGCTCTCGCGCGGGACTTCCTCACAATATACACAGCGTTCGCGTGGGATTCTCTTTCCATTTATTCAGACGCCGCGCCCTCGACACTCTAGAATCACGCTCTCGCTGTGGATGTCCAGATGATTTATTTGTAAATCGCGCTATCGCTCGATGCTTCCTCGCAATTCATGCAGGGAGCACGCTTCAGCAACCCGCCTGCTCGACCTGTTGCCTTTCCGACCCGCCCGCTAGGGTCTACCCACCCGATCTGCCCGTCTGGTTCTGCCACGTGTTTTCTGCTCCTAGCCCCTCTCCTGTTACTCTCTCTCGTGCTCCATCCTCCTCCTTCCCACTTGTCCATTCCTTCCATCCTTCCTTTCTTCCCCTGCCTTAGGGGCTGAACGAAGTACACGTTGCAGGTAAGGAAGATATATGCCCACAAGGGGGGTACGATCGAAGACGGAGAGGGCGGGTATCGAGGGTTCGGGATATACGTGTGGAGTGGCCCGCGAGCAGATACGAGCGAACAGTATGAAACTGATTGTTGTTGCTGATGGTGTTGTTGTTGGTGCTGTTGTTGGTGATGTTGTTTGTGTTGGTGTTGCTGTTGTTGTTGTTGCCACTGCTGCTGTGATGGTTGTTTCTGCTGTTGTTGTTGCTG